TCAAAGAAGACCATTAAATAAGGTATGATTTAATTTATGGACCAGGAGATAGAAATTCAGAACAACTAAATGCTCTTTTCACTCTCTGAAAGTGAATTTGTCTTAAGAATTGCCCCATTACCAGAATAATTTGGAAAGGCTAATTGATTAACTGGCAGAATTCTAAGGTGAGTGAAGATGTCCCCATGTACCTTTGACTACAGAGAGGCCTTTCTCTGAACCGACATGCTGGCCCCTTGGATCCAACCCTCAGACTGGCTGAAAGGCCCTGCTGGGTGTTGTGATGCCAGAAAAGCTGAATCCTTTCATTAACCAACCTTCCTGTTCTTCTCTGTGCAGACATGTGCTTGTTTTATTTTAAATGGAGCCTAGTTTGCCATGAGCCTGTAGTACACTGATAGAATATGCCAAGTTTCCTGCCATATCCAGTAGACTAGCACTTTCCAGCCTAGGAGAGAGGGTCTTGATAGAATGGGGGATTATTACAGGCAGTTCAGGAATATTCATGCACACTAAAAATTGTGCAAAAAAAAAAAAAAATGGGCAGAGAAGGTAGAGAAATCTCCCAACCCTGTTCACACCTTCATGTTCCTGGAGTATAAAAATCTCCCAAAGAAACCAAAAATGGTGTCAGAGTTTAGATAAGACAGTCTCAAACTTTCTGTGTAAGAAACCAGTTCTAGATTTTGTTTTCCCATTTGTTTTGGGCCAATACTTGTAGAAAACAGTAAAACTAAATTACTCTTAGTTTCTGCACTTTATCTTATGGAGGACTAGTAACAACTCTTCATGTTCCAGCACAGTCTATGGACCACACATTGACCACACCTTGCTTGATAGGTTTTTAAAACATTAAAATATTATGATTGTGTTTACATTATTTTAGTAGAGTGTTTATAAAATATTAATTCATTGTATACAATACACAGTAAGGACATTGGCACATTTTAATGTCCAGGTAAACAAATTCTTTCAACTCAGTTCACACATTTCTTTTCTTTCTTTTTTGTTGATACCAGGGATCGAACCCAGGGGCACTTAACCACTGAGCAACCTCCCCAGCCCCTTTTTATATTTTGCTTAGAGACAGGGTCTTGCTAAGTTGCTTAGGGCCTCCCTAAATTGCTGAAGCTGCCTTTGAACCTGGATTCTGCTGCCTTAGCCTCCCAAGCCACTGGGATTACAGATGTGTGCCACCATACCCAGTCAACCCAGCTCATGCATTTCTGAGACCGTATAGTCACTGTTATAGACAACATTAAAAATGTATACTTAAGCACTTAAGGATTTTAGTCACAGATGATCAAATTATAGTGACCCCTGTATGAGGAGCCCCTATTACTTAGACATTTGTATCCTATCATTTTTCACATGTATGAAATGCTGCTGAGATGAATAAAACACAATTTATGAAACAGCTCTAAAGAATTTAAATAAGCTGTTTGATTTTTCCCCCTCTTATTCAGTTTTGAAAGTGCAGCTGCTATCCTGTGGGAAAACTGACAAAATTTTGATATTAAAAAAAGTCTTTTTACTTGAAATCTTTGATAACTACTTCTCCACACAGACCTGGAAGGAATGCATGAAAGTTAGCTAATTCTGTTACATAGAAAGAATAGTCAATCAGAGAACTCTGCTGTCTTGCCTGAGACTATTAGTGCTGTGCAGACTGAAGGGTTTCTGTGAAACACTTTTCTTCCCAGACCCCAGGTAATCCAGGTCTGAAAAGCAATGCCTCATTTATTAATTCAGTAACATCTAGGGTGCTAACTACTGGCTTAGACAGCAGGGAAGATGCCTCTACCCTTAGGAGGCTCAGGAAAAATTCTTGGGTCAGAATTCCAGTTTGTCCTTCAGTTCTTCTCCTGATGTGAGATGTATGGACAGATAGTTGGGCTGTGCCTCTTCACACCTGACCAGTGAACAAGCCTTTCTAACACTTGATATTGCGCTTGTGTGGTCTCTTGTTGAGTGCAAGAATTGCACTTAGTGCATGGAAATGATAATAACAGAAACTTTAGTAGCTCACAAACCTTATCCAGATTTGCCAGGCATGAGTGGAACAGAGTAGAATGTGGGGGCTATTTGCCATCTTCCTTGGCATGAAACTGTATGATACAGATCATTTTGGAAAATAAATGGGTTTTTATTTTTCTAAGTCATCTCTATGGACAGGTAAAATTTTGTACTTTTCCCATGTTAGGAAATTCCTGACCAATGCTTCTCAAACTTTAATGTGGATATAAATAGCCTAGGGATATTGTTAAGAGTCAGATCAGGTTTAGTAGGTCTGGGCTGTGCCTGAGAGTCTGTTTCCAACAACCTCCCTCCTAGGCAATGCTGAGGCTGCTGCTCTTCAATTTTGTTGGTATTTCAGTCATATTTTGAGTAGCAGAGACTACATCCCATGTTGTGGGTTGTCAATCCATTTTGTGTTGTTATAACAGAATACCCAACATTGGGTTATGGATAAAGTAAAGAGGTTTATTTGGCTTATGATTCTGGTGGCTGGAAAGTATAAACAGCAAGGTGTTACACATCTGGTTGCTACAACATGAGCTGAGAAGTGGAAAGGGTACTGGCCCCAGGCAAAAGGGCTACGCATGTGAACAAAGGAGCAAGAGACTGGGGAGGAGCCAAGGTCACTTACAACCATCTACTACTATAAGAATTAGCCAGGTTCTGTAAGAACCACACTAATCCATTCCAGGGTGGGGTACCCTGTGATCTAATCATCTCTTGAAGTCCCTACCACTTCAATACAGCTGTACTGGGGACCAGATTCCCAGTATATGAACCACAGTATTGGACAAACAATATCCAAACCATAGCACATGAGAATTGGCCTGACCTGCTTTTGTGGAAGGTACTGACCCCTATTTCAGCTACACTTAAATACTCCAGTTACTACATTGCAGTGGTATCTTTCTTATCTCAAGGCTCTTGAGTAGTCTAAGAACATATTGCTGAGGGGTATATATATTGATCATTGTGCTTAATCATTAGCAAAAAATCTTTATTATGCTTTGGACCACATATTTCTTAGGACAAAATGACAGCAGTATCTGTATGCCCAGTTAAGATTTGTTCCATTCATTTTATTACAACACATTGCTTTGACTCACGGATCTTGTGTATCCTGCATATGGTAGGGAGAGTTCCTCATGGTACACCTGAATGCAGTGAGCTTTGCAATCCAATCATAAAATGAGGAACTCAATGTGTTATGTTCAGTGAGTTGATAATACTCAGTCTCTTTAAGATGAGTGGACTACAGAGTATATGTGTAAGAGAAACTAAATCTATTGATTATATTCTGGGCATTGTGATCAGCTATTGTTGGATAAAGGTTGTCATTTGAGTCTCTTGGTGTAACAAAATAATCACAGAAATTTAAAACCAAATTCAATTTTGATGATTTGTCTCTTTTGACTCACATCAGATGGTTTTTCTTATAAAGGCCTTTCAACTCAGGCAAAATTAAAATTGAAACTGATGTCAGGCTGGGCACAGTGGCACATGCCTGGAATCCCACCAATTTGGGAGGCTGAGGCAGGAGGATTGCAAATTCAAACCCAGCCTCAGCAACTTAGTGGGGGCCTAGGCAACTCTGAGAGACCCTGTCTCTAAATAAAATACAAAGAAAAAGGGCTGAGGAGAGGTGGCTCAGTGATTAAGTGCCCCTGGGTTCAGTCCCCAGTACCCACCCCCTGTCAAAAAAAGAAAGAAAGTGATGCAGGAAAACAGAGGCTTCATTCATATCACAACTTGTGCTTCACCCAGCGCTGTGCATCCTTGGCCAGGGAGTGGCTTTTCCACCCCATCCCTGAGCTGGTGATTGTACTTTTTAATGACGACATCACCATGTAGCATATGCCAAACTAATCTTCTAAATTATTTTTAATGGATTAGAAGAATGGCTCACTTAATCTTTCTAGTTTCTTAATTTCCTTTCAATAGGCCACATTCCATCCCTAAAACATTCTGTAGGTCTGTCAGCAACTTTGATTGAAGCATGAATTAATCTTATCAGAATCCTGATGGAGGCTTAGATGGGTCTTTGCTATTCAGAGGGTTTTGTTGTAATGTAATCTTAATCAGATTTTGCTGGTATGTCTTTAGGAATTTTGGAAGGAAAGATAATCTAACCAATTTAGAAATCATATAGCACAAACATCTACACCAAAATAGAAATAACCAGGGTTTACCCCAATGACAAGGGCCTGTCTTTAGATCCTAGTCCTGGGATGCTTGATCTCCACAGTACCTTTCTGTGTCGATGTATGGATGGAAATGGTGGATTTAGGGCTTGAGGAAGCCGGTTTCCTAACATTCCTGGTGGGGTTGAAGTATCCAGTACTTCTCACTGCACTGCTGCCTAGACTGGCAGTGGACTCAGCATAATCTGAGGAGACAGTGTCTGGGTAGGAGCTTCGAATCTGCAGCCAGTTGGTCTAGCTGAGATCCTGCCTTGTTTTGTAAAGTTGTGTGACTTGGGCAAGTCATAGAATCCCTTTGTGGTTCAGTTTCTTCAGATGTAAGATGAGGACCTTCCTCAGGTTCCTGGTGAGGATGGAACAAGTGATTAGAATAATCATCCAGGGCCTCGTATGTGCTATCTGAGGGTTTGCAGACTGTGGTTCTCTACAAGTATTGAGAAGTGAAGTCAGTGTTCTGAGTTGCAAACAGCATTTGAAAAATAAATAAAACATATTTTGCAAATATTAGAATGAAATAGAGCATTTTAGAGTGCCTTGCATCTATGCAAGGTATTGTTGAATATCCCCTTGGCTCCTCTTTTTGGTGTTCTTTTGATTGTGTGTGCGCATGTGCATGTTTTCAATGAAGTTGTGATTAACAGAGTATGGAAGCCCCTCTTCCAGAAACAAGTGAATCCATTTTTCTAAACACAGACCCATTGGGGTGAGTGAGGCCTTCCTTCTATGGACACAAATGTGTAGGTGAGCTGTGACTGAAACTTACATGTGCTTCCCTTGCAGAGGGAAACCAAAGGGCAGTTTGTTATCGACCACATCTGCAACTACTACAGCTTGCTGGAGAAGGACTACTTTGGCATTCGCTATGTGGATCCAGAGAAGCAGCGGGTAAGAGCCAACCCCTATCTCAACCCATTCTGAGGGAGGAGCCCAGGCTGTGGGGCTCTGTGGGTATTCCTCCCAGAGCCCCTGTGGGGTCCTTGTTCTCATGGACTATTGGCCACAGGAAACTACTCATTCAGTGAGTATGTGAGTCAAAGGCTTAGGCCCTGTCCCACTGGACTGGGTAGAACAGGGGAAAGTTACATTATAGGTCTTTCCAGAAAGCTGGACCCACCTGGACAGAAGAGAGAATATTCCTGTGACATTTGATTTGCACAATGGCATCAACAGTGGCCACATAAAATCTGATTAGAGAAAAATCCCCCAATCTCTGACAATAAAACACTACTGGTAGATGAGAGGGTGAATGCTTAATGGGTTTAGGGTTTTCTTTGGGGATCATGAAAATGTTTGGAACCTGATACAGGTGGTGGTTGCAACACATGGTGAATGTACTAAATGCCACTGGAATGTGCATTTTAAAATGGTCAATTTTATGTTGTGGATTTTACCTCAATTAAAAAAAAAAAGCTTTTGACAGATGAAAGATTAAATTACTTTGGAAGTTAGTTGCTCCTTGTCTTCTTGCTCCTGGACATATTTACCCTTTCTAGCTCACAAGAGTGAGCAAGGAGTCTCACTTTTCAAGCAGGTGTGTGCTTTGGTGTCTGCAGGCATGGCATGTGCTAGACTTCCTGGGGCATGTGCCCCTCACATCCAAAAGACTCCTGGAATCTCTGTCCCAGCCACTAGGGCTTCCTCTTCTTGCAACCCTGCTGTGCATTTGAGCTGTGGGCTAGAGGCTCTGTACTTAGTGTGAATTGGCTTCCTGGGGTGCCAAGGTTTGTGGGGGCAGAGCTGGGGGATAGGACTCCTTTTTAATTTTCCCCTTCTTCTCCAGGGTTTCTGGTTTTCTCCCTGTTTCCTCTTCCCTCTCTACAATCCCACCAGGCTGTTAGTTTAGTATTTACTGACTCAGGATGAAGAGGGAAGGTTTGCAGAGTGTACTTTTGTAAAGGAGAAAGGTGTTTAAGGAGGTTTTGTCCTGGAACACAGAGGAAGTTACTTAGCTCCTGGAGTCCTACAGGACCCTGTGGGGGATACAATGAAGTGGCTCAGAGGAAGAGGTTTTGGTTTCCTATGGAACCTGCGGTCACCCTTGAATGGGCCAAGTATTTACAGAGTGAGGAAGGTGAAGGACAGTGGTGAGGATGCAGGGCTCACATGGTGTCAGGGAGGGGGTCTGTGGTGTGACATTTACTACTAAGTAACAGTGGTCCCCAGACTTGGTCCTGCAACAGAATCACCTTGAGTGTTTGCTAAAAATACTCATTGTGGATCTTATTCCAGACCTCCTCAATCAGAATTCCTGGGCCAGTCTCAGGAACATGTATTTTAACACATTCCTATTCTAATTTTGATGCAGCTGGGTTCACTTTTGTCTTCTGGCCAGTGTTGGGAACCATGGCATAAAGGCAGTCATAGACATAGCTTCTTGTGGTTTGAGAGGGTATTATATGGAGAGTAAAACAGGCTGAAAGGTCCCACAGTTAGTAAGCAATAGAATGAATATTTGAATTTAGGATCATGATTCAAATCCCTGTAAGCCTAACAGACTCTGGACTGTATTCATCATCTAATTAAAACTGAAAATAAGCTGGGTTGGTGGCACACACCTGTAATCCCAGTGGCTCAGGAGGCTGAGGCAGGAGAATCACAAGTTCAAAGCCAGCCTTGCAACTTAGGGAGGCTCTAAGTAACTTAGTGAGACTCTGTCTCTAAATAAAATATTAGAAAGAGCTTGAGATGTGGCTCAGTGGTTAAGCGCCCCCTGGGTTCAATCCCTGGTACCAAACAAACAATCCCCCCCCCACACACACACACACAAAAACCCTGAAACTGAAAATAGATTATTTTTGTGTAAAATTCCATTCTAAATTATAGATATCCAATTTATAGGAGAAATTCTAGATACCATTAGTTAAGCAATCATCATGCTCTAGGAAGTTTACACATACAGTGTCTAGTCTTCCAAAAACCCTGCAATGAAGAGAGAAACAGGATGGGGTTTGAACTCACATCCTTTCCTTTCTATTTCCCACATAAAATTTGAAACACAGCCCTAGACTTTTTTTGTAAAGGCCCACATAGAAAATATTTTCAGCTTTGTTGCTCAAATAGTCTCTGTTGCAATCACTCACCCTGCTGTTTTCATGGAAAGTGGCTGTAGACAATACCTGAATTAGTGGATGTGGCTCTATGCCAATAAAACTTCATTTTTCTTTACTGTGCACTAGAAGCAGGCAGTTAGCCATAGTTTGCTGACCTTTGGCCTAGGCAATAGCTAGAAGCCACTGAAATGCATGAGCCTTTTTTATTCATAGCTCTTAACCTTTGCATTGGGGAGATATTGGATATAATTAAGAAAGGTCTTCAGAATTAAGGAATTGGAATCAGAGATATCAATATGAAATCATTATTTTTAAGATATATACCATAGATAGATATGTAAACAAATATAGATGTGTGTATAGGCTGGGCTAGTACATGCACACATAGATTTCTGTTCTAAGAAGTTTTGTGCACTAAAAAGGCCTAGAAGCAATGATACCAGAGGAGCAATGAGTACCTACAGATTTTGGGGTCTAAATACCATTCTCCAACCATAGCAACAAGGTCTCTTTGCAGAAAGTGTTGATTCCAGGACTGAAGTAGGAGACTCACAAGATGAACCTGGAGTATCTTGTGGTACCAGAAAGTGAGGAAGTACTGTAGCCGCACACGTGCACACATATGTGCACTCACATGCACACGCATAAAGGGCAGGGTGCTAGATAAAGCACTGAGCTTACCCCAAACAAGTGCCAATGGCTCAAACTGGAACAATTGGAGTAGCAAAACTAAATAACAATAGCATTGTTATTAGAACCCATAAAATGAAATAAATATCATGAGGCCATACTAATGTAAATAATTGAACAAATACATTGAAGAGTAAGATGGGATTTTTTTTCTTACAGAAGAATTCTGATTGATAAATGTAGAAGGAATTAGGGACAGAGAAAACCACCATTAGAACAATCCAATGATAACTGTAGCAGCTAAGAGTCATCAAAGAATCCTAAAATCAGTGGGCAAATTTTGAGGAGAAATAGGATATTTCGAATCTCAGAGTACGTCCCAAATCTTTTTTTTTATCTTTCCCAAATATTTTTTCAGTACAAAGGGGAAAATAATAACTTTGCAATGGAGAAGGCTGGCAGGCACCACTTGAACTGAGATTAAAGTAAACATCACCAGTAAAAAGGTAGCAACACCATGGACTCCCAGCCTGAGGCACTGGGAAGGGCACACTGTTTCTGGTATTCTTCCCAATAAGGCACAATCTCCATCAAGTCTGGAGAAAACATCAGATAAGTCCAAAGTGAGGCACATTCTCCAAAATAACTTAAAGCTTTTCATTTAAAAGCACTAAGGTGGTAAAAGACAAGGAAATATGGGGAACTGTTTTAGACTGGAGAGACACTTCAAATAAAAGCAACATGGGATCATGGAGTAGATTCTGGAACAGAGAAAAGTATTGCAGTGGGAAACTGTGCAAACTCCAAAATAAGTCTGTTGTTCAGTTAATACTATTGTGCTAATTACTGGTTTCTTATTTTTTTAATTGTACTGTAGTTATACAAGATGCTAATATTCAGGAAGAATGAGTGAAAGTTACACTCTACTGTTTTTGTGAATTTTTATATGCCTAAAATTATTTTTTAGGGTTAGAATAAAAAATGTCTTTAGGCATATGTGCTTCATTGTTCTTTGTGTTTTGACTTAGCTTAGCTTAATTTTTAAGGGTAGAAAATTAGAGGAAAAATATGGGGAACACCCCAAAACAAAACTGTCTTATCTATTGTAGGTACTAAATTTCTTGGAGTTCTAAGCATCTGCCAAACCCATACCTGAGAACTTTTATTATAGCTTCTGCATGGATTGCAGGGTAGTTGCTGTTCAAACCTGTCTACACTTTGGATTCAGAGAGATATGATTTAGAAATCCTATCTCTGCTGGTAAAGAAGTAATGTGATCTTGGCCAAGTTATTAAACTTCTCTGAGTCTCTGTCCAAATAAATAAAGATAAAATACTTTTGTTTGGAGCTGATATGAGAATTAGATATGAAATATATAAATACTTAACACATGGTATATATTAACTACATTATATATTTTAATTTTATTATTAATTATTGCTATTATTATTCTTACAGTTATGATACATTAGGTCTAGGTGAGGAATTATAGCCATGATTAGCATCCTAGACCTATCAGTGTTTGTAACAATTTCTTTTAAAGGCAGGGAGCACTATCATGATCTTTGGAGAGAGAGAAAACAGAAAGTGAGCATTGAAAAATTAGAAAAGCAATGGACTCAAAGGCATGAAGACATGCCTGTATGGGAGTCTTAAGCAAAGACTAGTTTACCAACATTGTTTTTGTTGTTGTTTTTTGTTTTATTTTTAATCAGCTCTTGTACTTTTTAAATAATTACAAATAAAACTGATAAATTATTTGGATAGAAGCTAACCAAGAAAGAAAACCAAGTTAGAGAAACTGAAGTGGAACTTACCTCTGTTGTGGGGCTGGTGGTTTGCCTGTGACTCTTTCTCAATTGACAGAAAACTATTGTGGAATATTAAATATTTAGCATTATTACGTTTGGAACACCATATGTTTGACGAGATGTCTCCTGCCCCACATGCTCTGAAAGTGATGAGGACTGAATCAGTAAATAATGACTATTTTTTTTTTTTTTTTTTTGCTATTTTAATGGCAAGGGCCCAGAGTTTCCATTATTATTATTTTGTCTGATGGAGGGATAGGTTAAATACCAGCTCATAAGAACCTCCTTCAATTTGCACCACATTCATCTTCTGAGGAATTCCTATAATTATAGTTGCCTAAGATTACAAAACAGGTAAATAGAATTATCCTGGCTAAAAGAGAAAGCTGGGTAA